GAGGATGGAGCGACCGTCGTCAAACACTTCTCGGAATGGACGATTGTTTTCATTTACCACTAAGCATACCGACACTTAAAACATACCAGAATCGGTCAAATAACCGGACCTTGTGTAATTTGACTGCGTGTATCAAAATATGGACGTTAGGAAGGAAATAATTGATCTTATGACAATTACCAGAAAAAATCATGAGGTCGATTGTACAAAAGCAATAGGATATAATCATCTCCAGTTAAAAACTCATTAACGGCCTTCTGGTAAATTGTATAGTGTTTAGTCTTTAGTTAGTGGCACTGACCTGAAAAAGCACTATTATCGATTGCTGTATAGGTACATCGTATCTGGGGGGACATTTAATAGATACTTAAAGGTCTACAGAGTCCGTAAGCTGATCCTCACACTAAATATGATTTATTAGTAAAATTTGTATCTCCTCATATAGGGCGTCACATATTTAATTGCACATTTGGATAGGCAGTATCATGTGACGTACAGAAGTATTAAGAATTTTTGCTGAGTTATAAGCAAGTCTGTGTATATAAACAGCTTTTATACTTCCTAAGGCACTGGGCAAGGAAGTACTATAATGGCAAAATAATTGGAAAATGAGAACACTTATTGCAGTGATTAAGAATATGATGTTGAGGCTTGTAGAGGTGGGGTAGAGTTTATTTCGACTTGTTGGTACCAGCAATATATAGATATGTATCCAACCCAGGTAATTCTGTGCATCTATTAGACATATTTCATAAATCAAATATTTCGTCGAATACTTGCCCTTAAAAGCTAAATTATAAAGAAATACCTTGGATGAACGCGTGTCGGACAACTGAACGAGAGCGCGCCTTTCTGCGTAGAAACCTCCAGTAGAGCGCTCATTATATTCTTACATACCTGGACATTATTACTTGTAGTATGTTTTCGATATAAGATATGAGTGTGAATATTTTCTGAAATATCACAAAATTAGTAAACAAATTATTTTTGCTAGCAAGTCGACCTTCAAGTTAAGTTAATCTCTTACTCATAACCTTTATTACTAAAGCAACATTAGATGCCTATACTCGAAAGACACTACTTTGTATAAAAAAACTGCATTCAAATTGATCGAACCGGTTTAAGAACTGTAGCTGTTGAGTGTGAGTTCAATAGATTTTTAATGAAAGAGCGATTTAGGAATATAAAACTCGAGCTCTTTTATCTGACATCTCATTCCTATTTCGGGTTACTGACCCTCAAGTTCACCTCCTATAAATAACGGATTTTCATACGACTTAGCTAAGAATGATTACGTCAAACAAGATTTTCGATTGAAAAAAAACTCAAATCTGTTCAGCCGTTGGGGAGTTGCGAGGCAACAGAGAGACACACATACACGTGCTAAACTTATAACACATCTCTTCGTGTGAGCGTTTAATAACGTAGATCAGCGTTTTTCAACATTCGCAACCCAATTTTCAATAAGTGTTCCCCCTCCCTCTCACACAATAACAATGTATGTATACATGAGTATTTTGATGCTAAACTTTCAGTACAACCTTAATTACAAATCCTGCAACTTACCGAGAATAAGTAAATTTATAAATATTTGGCGACGCCGATCTGCTGCATTGGCAAATCCGGAATCAATACCTCTCGTCACGAGAAGTTCCGAAATATTCCGAACGTTCTCGACCATCTGCGCTGACGTGTATACACGCCACATCTCGTCAATTCTGGTCAGTCTCAGTCAAGTCAGTCGTTCTGTCTATTGTGAATGCGTACGTTGTAATTTGCGTGTTAGTTGCAGTTCACGGTATTAAAATATAATATATCCTCCGCTGTAAATTTAAATTTATATCAAATCATGGGCGTAAGCGAGTATTCGGTAGTAGTGCATCAACAGGTACACAGGCAAGAGAGGTTCCAAAAATTGAATCAACAAAATATTCTCAAGAATACTTAAATTTTGGGTTTACATGTACTGAAGTCAATGGAGAAGGTCTCTGTGTATCATTTGCTCAAAAAATTTAACAGCAGATGCCATAAAACCCAAAAAACTTAAATGACATTTGGAAACGCTTCGTAGTGAGTACGTTAACAAACCCCGAGAATTCTTTGAATTGAAATTAAAATAATACGAAAAGCAAAAATCATTTCGGAAAAAACTTTGACTGCGAATGAAGAATTTTTACTTGCCTCTTATAAAATTTCACATGAAATAGCCTTACCCTATTGGTGAAGAGCTTATTTTGCCAGCTGCAATTAAAATTGTAGAAACTATGTTTGGAGGTAATTTTGACAAAATATCGGAGTCCATACCTCTACCAAAAGATACGATTGCCCGTCGAATTAGTGATATAGTTGAAGATGCACACGATGTACAGTTGCTTTCAATTCAGCCTGATGAGGCAACGGACAGCAATAAAGATGCTCATCTTATTGCATACGTTCGATTTTGTGATGGCATATAAATAGCAGAAGAAGTGTACCTACTATATCAGTGTTAATGTGTATTTTATTTTTGATTATGTCAGAATTTTGTTATAATAAATTATTCAATATTGTTAATGTTTTTTTTCTGATATGCTCCCCACTTTAATACTGAGATGGCGTCCTAGAGGGGCGCGCCCGACAGGTTGAGAAACGCTGACGTAGATGCTAAAAATCGCATCTTGCACCAAGTACAGGGTGTCCGCAATGTTGGGGTTTTCCTTTACACGACGTGCGGATCTTGAAAACATAAGCAATTTTTCTTAGTACCATATACACCAATGTCTTAAGGGAACCGAGATAAAGGGCTCTGCAACATCAAAAATATCTGAATACCGTACTGTAGCCGCGATCCGCGACATCCCCGAGTGGTACAAGGTCACTGGCTCAACCGGACGACAGAACTGGGTTGGGGTCAATGTGTCAGGTCAGTATGCAACCTTCAACCGACGGTTACGGTCACGCGTGTAGAGGTAATCGCGTATACGAGAATCCCTCAACAAGCACTAGAGACGTGGCTAGAGAAGTGCAAGTATCAAAAACTAAAGTGTGGCAAACACTGCGGGAAGAGGGGCTGTATCCGTTTCACGTCCAACGTGTACACGACCTTTAACCTGTCGATTTTCCAGCAAGAGTGCGGTTTTGTGAGTGGTTGTTGCATCAACATGACAATAATCCGGACTTTTTAATGTGCATATTGGTGACAGACGAATCTACGTTCACTCGTAATGGGGTAAATAACTTTCGCAACACTCATGTTTGGTCAGTAGAAAATCCGCACGCTGTCCGTCGGGCACATTTTCAACAAACATTTTCGGTGAATGTTTGGGCTGTCATGGTGAACGGTATGCTCATTGGACCATTTATTCTCCCAAATCGATTGGACGGGATGCAATACCAAAATTTTTTACGCAACATTTTGCCTTCCTTGTTAGAAGATGTGCCATTAAGTGTAAGACAATCAATGTGGTTTCTGCACGATGGTGCACCGCCCCATTTTAGACGCGAAGTGCGTGAGTTTTTGAATGAATTATTTCCGAATAGGTGGATCGGACGTAATGGACCCGTAGCGTGGCCTCCGCGATCTCCAGACTTAACACAATGTGATTTTTTTCTTTGGGGAGAAATGAAACGCTTAGTGTACAAAACTAAAGTGCATACGGTTGAAGAACTTCGTCTCAGAATTGAACAAGCTGGTGCTTTCATTCGGGGGAAGGACTCCATTCTCAAAGCCTGCACCGATGCTTGGCTACGTCGTGCACGCACCTGTGTTTTTGAATCAAACGGCGATAACTTCGAACAATACTTATAAAGTACGTTTACCTAAAAACTGAAAACGCGGCAACGCCGTCATATTCGTTACCTCTGTTCGTGGTCTGCACCACCGCCTGCGTCTGCTCGGTAGCGCATCAGCTGATTTCATTTTCTGTTGGAGCGGTATGATTTCGGGCAGAGACGTACTTAGCCCTTCTCGTCTGGCGAGTAAGTACTTTTTCCTTTATTTTTTTTTACTTGGTCGCCCTCGTTTCACTACACATTACCTTTGTTATTTCTAGGGTAGTTGTTTCTGAAAAGGAAAACCCCAGCTTTGCGACACCCTGTAGTGTGCGATAAGTCCACTATGTCTAGGAGTTTTGCGTGATGTAACTCCAACTTCTGGCATACAGAGGTCAAAAAAGTGAGCGCATGATAGATTTTACACCAGAAAAAGGAAAAAGAAAATAGCACAGCTATTTAAAATAGGAAAGTCCCCAAAATATTTCTTACTCCTTGAAGTGACCAGAAACTTGGAACATTTGAAAACCACGGTACGTTTCTATTAGCAGTGACAAAAGTTTGCTCAGCTTTCAAGGGATCTGGGTTTTCAAATTATTTCCTTTTTCTTAAAACGACAACTCGTTAAACACTTCAAGCCCTTATTTATTTTAAGCTACCTGTGATTTTGTGAAAAGGCAGAGAAGGAGATGTTTTCAGAAGGAATACTGTGATTATGTCATAGGAGCATAGAGATGCACCTTGCTCAAGCTTCTATACATGGTATTGAAAAATATGAAAAAAAGTTTCTGTAAACGTGGGTCCCCAAAGCAGAGTTTTCAAGGTGAATAATTAATTTATAGAACTGGCACGCAAATGTCAAACCTGCATGCAGAAACATTTTTTTGTTTTCCGATAAACTTGTGATTATATTAATAAACCAATTTTATCCAGTAACATGCAGTAAACTGTTTTTATTTTTTTCTCTAAAACGAAGAGAGATACCGAAAGAATACAAGAGGCAAAGAAATTGTATTCATAGATGCCTAATCAAACAACAAACTTTAAAGTAACAATAAAGGCAGTGTCGTACATTTGTTTGCCAATAATATTCTCTGAGGTGTTCCCGGGACGCCACTGGAATACAACAAATGATATTGCCTAATTTCAACATGAATCGAATGAATATTTCTTAAGATAATAATATTTTTTTTCAAATTCATCACCTTGTATATTAGAAACTCTGCGTTTCCGGACCCATGTTTATGAAAACTCTTTTTCATATTTCATAGCAAGGAATCACCTCTTGAAACCTCTTCGTCCATTTTTTACACCCTGTATAACCAAATGACACACTGAACATGTATACACTCGTATGTAACTCACACGTTTATTGGTCTTATTTAAAGTGGAAAACAGCCATCATTTTACATATTACAAGTAGACATCCAAGTAGAGGACTCATGCGACAATCTTCTTGGCAGCAGCCTTGGCTGCTGCAGCGCCAGGGCCGGCGGCGCCCGCGATAGCAGCGATAGGGCCTGCCCATAGGGCGGCAGCGGCGAGAGCACTCACAAGAGGACCAGCTAACACAGCAGCTACGGGTGCTCCAACAGCCGCAGCGGCGATCAGGGCTGGTACGGCCTTCAAGCCGACAGCTGCAAGTAAGAACATGTTTAAGGAAGCTCGAGTGAAATCTCATTCTATACGCTCCCAGCCCTGATCCGCGTTTAAAATTCACACGAACAGCAAAGTGTATCAGGGGCCTGATTCTAACTTATTATGATGTCACCCTGATGTTGTGCGGTTATAAATTGGCCCCTCTTAACATTTTTTAAGATCTTTAAAAAAAAAATACATATATATACATACTAAGTGACATATAAATCCGAACACCCAGTTTAAACGGTATTATTTTAATAAAAGTTGGTGAATGTATTTATCTTACTGTAAATAACAAGTGAAAAAATTTTCAGTCTTATCAGTTGGACATTCCGGTTTTTATACTGCTTTTTTTTTTAATTCACTAACGCTCTAAAAATGAATATTTCAGCCGCAGTAAAGAATCAACGTTGGCGGATTTTGGTTCTTGACATCCTTTACGATCGGTTACGATGCCTAGAGTACGGAAACCTGTACGATTTCGTCAACTTAGTGAGTTTGATAGGGGCCGTATAGTGGGACTTTGGGAAGCTGGACTTTCTTTTCGGGCAATTGCAGTTAGAGTGCAAAGAAGTGTAGACACTGTGGTTAGGTGTTGTCAGGCATGGCTTCGAGAAGGCCGTACTCAAAGAGCAGGGGCACTGGACGCCGCCGTAGAACAACAGACCGTGAAGATCGCCGCCTAAGATTATTGGCCTTAAGGGACCGTTTCTCCACTACCAGGTCCATTGCAAATCAATGGTTTGCAGAACACGGAAGACCTATTGGCATGCGAAGTGTTTACCGACGAATGAGAAGTTTTGGCTTGTTTTCATACTGGCCACACTGGGTCCTCTCTTGAACTCGAGAACACCGACGTAATCGCCTTGAGTGGTGCAGACAACGGTCACTCTGGGATCAGGAATGGAACAGTATTGTCTTTAGTGACGAGTCTCGATTTTGTTTAGGCATACACGATGGTCGTGCCAGGGTTAGAAGGGGACGTGGTGAAAGGAGGAATACACAGTTTTTTGTTGAAAGACACGTTCCTCACACTGTTGGAGTTATGGTTTGGGATGCTATAGCTTATGGTTCCAGGTCACCTTTAATCTTCATCAGAGATGACATGAACGCGCAGCGTTATATCCACGAAGTTCTAGAACCCCATCTTTTACCCTATCTTGACACCCTGGCAGATCCAACTTTCCAACAAGATAATGTCCGACCACATGTTGCAAGAGTCACAATAGACTTCATTCAACATAACGAGGTCACATTGTTACCATGGCCACCAAGATCTCCCGACTTATCCCCAATTGAGCACATGTGGGATATGATGAGTAGGAGATTGCTCAATTTGCAACGTCCTCCTCAGACTCTAGAAGCACTTCGAGAGGAGTTGGTGGTTGCCTGGAATGAGATACCACAGGAGGACATTGGCCACCTGATCAGAAGCATGCCTAGGCGCGTTGGAGAATGCGTAGCATATCAGGGTGCATCCACACATTATTAAAGGTCAAAGGGCTTTAAAGCAGTGCAATCATTTTGAAATTTTTATCATTTACTTATTATGCTTCATTAAGTACTTATACAAAATTATATTAAAATAAAACCATTTAAACTGGGTGTTCGGATTTATATGTCACTTAGTATAAGTCTAATGTAAGGTATTCCAGGCAATGTCTAGAAATACAGGATATGATTCCTTTCAACTTTTGAGCTACAAGAAAAAAATATCATAACTTTAATACTGATTTATGATTTTCATCAAATTTGGCATGCTACAATAGGCATTTCTTGATGTAGAACATTTTTTAATTTTTATTCCAGTGGCGTCCGTACGGGATGTATATTCGAGGTTTTTCAAAAAGTATGGTACGCCGTTGCTCTCTCCAATAAATTTGACCTTCTACTTGGTCAGCAGCGATTTTTATGCAATTAAATAGTTTTAAAATTTATCCAGTATAATCGAATAAGTTTAACAGTTTTGTTGAGATTTTCATAAAATTTTTTAAGAATTATGTTTGCTGAAAAATAGACCTGACTACGTGATATCATATTCTCAGCGTGAGATCTAAAGTGAAAAATATTGATTCTTACCTGTAACTATAGCTTCAGCGGTAATGGCGTCTAGTCCAAGAGCAGCTGAAAATGAAAATCAGAGTAGCTACACTCATGTTTATTCTAATTCTGTTGACCTACCTCCTATAGCAGATACTGCGGCTTTGTTGGCAGCTGTAATCAGAAAACGAGGACATGGTAACTATAATTTCAAAGCATCGATGTGGTATACGTGGGAAATTATATTTCACCCATAATTCTCAAAAAATAGTCCTTTTTACAGTTTTTGGCGGTTATGTCACGGTGTCATACAAAATAAGTAAACACACTGATGGTCCATGTGCAAAGCCTCACTTGCACACACACATGAATTGGTTGCTAAAGGTTGTTTTCAATTATTCCATGAAAATACTTTTTTAAATACAATACAGGTTGTCGACATTGTAACTGTATCTGCAGGTATTACCAAGATGTCATACTGGCAGTGACAGACGTAAATGTGGAAGACACTTACGTTGATGAGAAACTGTTCAAGGCTGCGAAACAACACTAAAGAGTTTCCTGTTTTTTGTGACGCGCCAGAGACTATGAAAGAACCTACGTAAACTCCAATGGACAGTGACAGTTTGGCAGAAGTAAACCATGATCAAGGGATCTCCATACGAAGGATCGTTTTCCGGCATTTGTGCATTTTTGCAGCTAGTACTCACTGACCTCAGTTCTTATTTTATATCTTCATCCTGTTTCAATGTACAACTTCAAATTAATACGCTATTGTCATCACGTTACAAGCGAATATAAATTTAATAGAAACCAATTTTCAACAAATGATCAAATCACACTGTAAATTAGCCATTTGTAGCAGCAATTGATTTTTCAAGAAAATAATGTCAAGTCATACTTTTAAAAGAAGAACTGGAATGTGCAACATGTCAGCTCTATTAGAGCTTTGCGGCTTTGAAATTACCAGAAAACGGTTCTAGGTTGGTTATAATACTCCTATATGCAAAAATCGTTCAATGTGTCAGCAAAAGCCTTCCTAATTAACAATAGAGAACGGTGAGTTTCACTCACCTCCAAGAGCTTTAATGGCGTCCTTCAGCCCTTCACCAAGACCTGAAACATGTGACTTAAAAATTACATAACATCACTTTAACTGACGAGAAAATTAATTTACTATGTCAGCAGTATTGCAACCAGCGAGAATAGCATTAATTCTATCTTCGCTATCGTTTTTCTGTGACATGTGAAAAATTATAATTACGGATCACATACTGTATACACGTACCTAAAGGCCGTATCGTCAGTCGCTCCTCGCCTTCTTGATTCTCATAGTGTTTTCTCTTCTTCACAAACGCTGGGGTATTTTTTGATTTCTACTGATCTGTGTCAGCGTCAGACTTCTCGTATTGTGAGGCTATGTTTTTTTTGAATTGTAGGAAATTTCAGACTGATATAACAAATGATATAAATCAAAAGTATGAACAGTTAGATGCAGAGATATAATAATAATAATAATATTTATTTACTCAATGTACAAAGATAACAAACAATATGAGTAAATAAATATAAAATCAAAACAGGTCCAATAGAAGGCATCGCCTGTACAAGGACCAATAATTTAAGTTGAAACTGTAGAATCCAAATGACAAAAAAGGACAAAAATTAGCTACAGTAGATTATGTATTTAGTTGATGTTCGTATTTATGAGTTTATGAATTTCAGTCCTAGATATATACGTAGAATGTAGCCACTTTTTTAAATTTCTTTTGAAACAATTTCCGAAACGTAAATCTTTTAAGTCTTTAGGTATAATTTCATAAAATTTATAATAATTTTAATAAATAGAGATATGATCGCTGCATTATAGATTTATGCGGTTGAGGAACTACTGTGCCACGAATTTTGTACCAGGTATAATGATTATGTTTAATTTTTTGGTCGGTGTTTACAAATTTATGGTAGTGAGTGATACTGTGTAAGAAATAAAGCTGTCTTATATCATACATTCGAACATCTGCATATAATTTTTCAGTGGGATAAAGTTTCGGTTTTTTAAATATCGTTTTTAGAATACTTTTTTGAAAAACATCTAAATTATAGATATGTGAGGAACATGCAGCTCCCCATGCTAATATACCATATGTGAGATGAGGCTCAATCAGTGCATGGTATAATGTTCGAAGATATTTTTCTGTCAATATATTCCCAAGGTATTTAATTTTGTAGGATACAAATCTAACTTTCTTTAAAATATAATTGACATGGATGTCTCATCGTAAGTGAGGATCCAAGACCACTCCAAGGTATTTTATGTTGGGCACTCTATTAATTTGCATTTTTTGATCATTAATATTGAAGGAGAAATTTGTGTAATTTGGCAGATGTCTAGCATAAGATCCAAATGGTAAAAAATGTGTTTTAGAGTAGTTAATGCTTAATTTTCTACTGTTAAACCACCGAATAATTTTGATAAAATCATTTTCAATTACATTCTTCAGATCAGACCAGTCAGTGCCTTCATATAATATTGCAGTATCATCTGCAAAACTAGTTATTTTGCCGACACAATTAATTTGGAAAATATTTAAATATATATTGAATAACAGCGGACCTAAGACAGTTCCTTGTGGGACATCACACTTAATATACATTTCTTTACTAAATGATCCTGATATCTGCACAGATTGTAGGCGATTTGACAAATAACTTTCGATCAGTGAGTAAGCGTTTCCTCTGAAACCAATTCTCTCCAATGCTTCTAATAATAATTTGTGATTAACTGTGTCGAAAGCTATCTTTAAATCAACAAAAATGCAGATTGAAGGGATTCTGTTATCAATATTTTGATATATTTGATTTACAATTTTAGTTATTGCGTCCGGTGTAGCCTTCCCTTCTGTAAATCCATATTGATTTTCACTTAAAATTTTGAATTTTGTGAGGTATCGAATCATTCTAGTAGATAAAACTTTTTCAAAAACCTTTGCTACACTGGATATTATTGATATTGGTCTATAGTTGTTAACATCTGTTTTTGTTCCTGATTTATGTATGTAATGTACATATGTAACATCTCCTCAAAATAGGGCGCTGTCACGGAACAGTAGAAAACTCTGAGAATCAAACAGGCCATAGAGGCGTCCTACAATTATTGCAGGATTGACTGACGATATGACCCTAAGGCTCCTACACCTTTCCTTAGGGCATCCATACGAAAACAAGTGAAGTATATAATGTATATTTTCATTGTATCACGGCTTTTTAGCTTTGCAATCTAAATGGGCAGCAATCACATCGACCCATCTGATATACAGAGCGTCCTAAGACGAAATCATACCCGGGAACTCAGAGGTACAGCGTCGAGCCACACCCCATGTATGTTATCCGACTTTATGCTTAGGAGTTATGTTTTTTGCTATTTTTTATTTTCGACTTCTGAATATATTTTGGTCATGACTTTGTAAATAAGTAATATTTCTGCCTACCTTTTCCCTAGTTATTCAGCCAAAGGTTGAGGCTTAATCATTAATTCAGGTAATTCATGTATTTTGAAATAAAAAACGACACGCATAACGCACAACGTTTTTCAAAAATAAAAATGTTTTTGCATTCATCAGTATATTGAAACTTCTTTACCTTATCAGTTATCAACAACAAAAATATTATTGGCGCAGCGTTACTACATGCTACCTTACTTTTGTTGTGCAAATAGAACAGAACCTAAGACTTATTAAGGCCGATTTATAGGCTCTGCCGAAGCGCAGAAGTTGAATCATACGCTTGACGTTAAACTGTTTATAAACAGGAATTCCACAACGTTCGTCGGCCACGCAGACGCTAGACTTGACGAAGCTTTAACTTTCTGCCGTTGTCGTTCCTGATTCAAACCAATGAAAGGGGGACAGTGAATCTTCCTGTTTGCTGCGACAGATCCGTCGTTTTTTTCGCTCTGTTTGACATGATGATTGTTTTGTTTTGCCAAGTGTGGCCTTGTTTGAAATTGTTTGCTGTATTTTATTTAGTTAATTTCAATAGTACGAATTATCAGGAGAGTGTGTACTTTAAAAAGGCCAACGTGATGGCCGAAAAGTCGATCAAACAGGTAAATTCATACCTGGTCCAAACACATGAACCAGGGGTAGGTGTTAAGTGAATTTCGGATAACAAGCGTTTTTAATGTTCTGTGATGTTTCCTTTGCGTAAGTCCTTGTCACTTATTTCTGTCGATCTGTTTTAATGGAATTTGAGTGGCAGGATTCTGTGGGCTTATATTGAACATAAGCTGGTTCATTTTCGAAAATCGGTCTCTGTACGTGGAATTACGAGAAACATCTAAAAGTTACACACGTAATAAACGAATTTTTCAGACGTGCGAAGTTTTGAAGATTGTAAATCTATTTTTACGTCTATGCTCGCTTAGAAGGCTGCTCAGAGATATTAGATGGATTTGTCAAGCCTCATGCTTTACTGACATAGGAGTTTGAGTATCATTAATTTTCAGTTTGTGAGAATGGAAAACTTAAAAGTAGACATTATAAGTCCCAAGCTAATCTACTTGAATAAGTACTGTAATTTAAAATGAGATATGATTTGGATGTTATACAATATATACATTATGAAAAACAATGTCGCTCATTTCTGTCGGTCTGTTTATCAGTTTATATGTTGATCCGTCTGCCACGTTTACTTTGATTTAACACTTTCAAACCCGATAATTCGTAGTTATTAGACATACTTCACTCACCATAGACTTTCGCGTACATTTGGCCTTATGTAAATAATAAGTAAACATTATGCTTGAATATGGTATATAAATATCGTACTTAAGTACGTATTATGAACTATTTCACTGAAATATCGAACATTTTTGACAGTCTTGCACCAGAACTCCAAAGAAATGAGGCTACCGTGTACGGAGACGCTCATTACTGCAATCTAAAAAGTTTTTTTTTATGAAAAGCTCAATTGGCGCAGAACCTACGTTTCGTTGGTGCCATTGCACTGCATGTAATATTGTACCAGACATTGTATCGGGATATACAGAGTATTTCTAAAGTTGCGCTATTTATTTTCATGAAATCTAAATAACGAGTTTCTGAACAGATAGATAGACTCATATCTTACTGCCTGATCACTCTGCGGATTTAACGCCTTGCATTTTTTTTCTGTGGAGCCATTTGGAAAGGTTGCTGTGTCATGATCGTGCAGTAAATGCTCTGGAAGAACTTTGATAGCGCACTGAAAACGCTTGTGATTTAATTCATGGACACCGCTTGTAAAGAGTCATGGATTCGCCTAGCAAGATTTTCGAACAAATGGGAGCAGTTTTGTACGGTTTTTGTAAAAACCGTATCTCGTCTCTTACAATGCAACTTTTATATAGGTGATTTTTGGTATATCGACTTATCTTGACGAGTTTTACGAGCTGTTAAAATAAATGACTCAACTTTGGAAAGACCCTATATATGCCATTTTATACATCGATTCAAGCGCGGTCATCTTTACGTTACGTAGTACTGCTTAGCTACTCACCAAGTGCACCACCAGCAATTCCACCAGCAGCACCAGCAGCACCAGCAGCGGGGACGGCATAGGCGACTGAAAACAAATTTAGGAATAATATTTCGCCCTCCACCATATTTACTCCTAATTTTGGCAACATTCAATCCTCGTGTTTTTTTTTCTGTAGACTGTACATATTGTCTCTTTTACCGTAGAATCACAGCTGATTATCTAGTGATATTTGAGAGCTCCCCATACAACAAGTGACACATAATTCTGTGGAATCTGTCAGCGCCAGGTAAACAGAGCCGTATTTTGTTGTGGTTATTTTGTATTTAAAAAAAGTTCTTTTGCATTAAAAAAACACGCTACAAGCAAAATAGATGCTAGTGATCATGACTATATTTTAAGTCAGGTAGGAATAAAAGACAGTTTTTGACAATGTTAATCATCTCTACTTTTCAGAACACAACAGTTTTCAAACGGTAATGAAACAGCTATACAACTATCTTTTTAGACGTTCATTTGTGTGTACCATGTTAGTGAATTAGTGATATGCCATCATTACATATTAAGACAAATTCTCAAGTTTGTGAAAAATGTTGAACGATCATTTACATATTAACTCAGGTACGCTAAGACTTTGTTATAGCCTGATTGATGTCCCAGGTTCGTAAGGAGAATCCTTCCTGTGATTATTGGTATTTAGTATATACCTGACGATTCCTCAGTTTTTATTGCATTATTTGCACTAGTTATTATTTTTTCACAATAAACCCCTTTGACTATCTTTTACCCTACGAGTAGCCCCTTTGTTTCAGAAGTAATTCTGAATACAGGGTATTCGAAGGATTGACGGAGATATTTTAGAGGGCAATTCCTTGTCGGAAGATATAAAAAAAGTTTCTATAAAGATAGGTGCCGAAATGTAGGGTTTTCAAGGTACAGGGTGATAAATTTAAAAAATCGTTTTTTAAACTTCTTGGAGAAATTTCGCAAAATAAAATTACGTGAATAATGTTTTTCTAGAAGAACTGACACGCAAATCTCATAAATGTATAAACCAATTTTGTCCAGTGACATGCAATAAAACGGTTTTTATTTTTTTGAGATACGAAAAAATGCAAGAGGCAAAGAAGTTGCATTTTTAGATGCTTATTGAAACAAAAAATGTTAGAATTACAATAAAAGCAATGACGTACATTTTTTTGCCAATAATATTCGCCAAGGTGTCCCCTCCCCCGGGACGCCACTGGAACTGTGTCTAGGGCTAAATTAGCCTCTATACACATCAAATAATATTGCAGAATTTCAACAGAATCTAGTAAATATTAGGATATTAATAAAAAGAAGAAAAAAAATTATTCATCACCCTGTACCTTGAAAGCACATTCCCGTGTTTATACTAACTTTGTTTTATATTTTTCAACAAGAAATCACCCTCTGAATCATCTCCGTCACCCTGTATGAAGTCAAACCAAATACAACGTTTTAAAAAACGTGTCATTTTATCGAAAAAAAAAAATGGCCATGTGTCTGTTGAAACTCCATCTCAATTCGCATTTGATGCCAAGTGACCAGTGGTCGATTCAGGTAATAGATGGCGCTTTGTGCTGTCTCATTACGACATATCTTAAATTCTGGATAGAGGATATTTGCTTAACTTTCGTTCGTTTTCCAACGTGTGACCAAGCATATACCATGCCGCTGAGTTGCCGAAAAGCACGCACGTGAAATTTTATGTTATTGTTCCGAGGCTACCTATCCATTTGCTGCATGAAAAAGTTATTCCGCTTTTTTAAATACCTCCGAGCTTACGATCAATCACTTGCTATTAATCTGTCAGAAATGTTGCGTAGACGTGCTGTACGGAGATCCTCAGCAGCAGCGATAAACGAAAAGAAAAAGGATTTTACTTTTTCGCGAAGGTGTAGTTCGAAAACCACTAAGCTATGACTTAAAACAAATCGTGGCACTAGTTACGTATTAAGACATGGAGTTGCTTGCAATTAGTATCTACACGCTATCGTTACTTACCGTAGGCAGATGCTAGGACGAGAGCGGCGACTAGTAGACACTGAAATTAGAAACTGTTACTAGACAGAAATCTTAATCCTCTAAATTCCTCACCTTCATGATCACTTAGTGTGTTTTGGAGCTGTGTATTCAACAGGGAACCAGTCTACTGAGCGGACTTAACTTACGACGTGTGTAAAATATATACATTTTTTTCATGCAGTTTGACACGTATCGGCAATAAAAATTTGTTACCCTTGAAAGTATGATAAGGTTTTCATCAGAAACGGTTGAAGTAATAATTATGAACGTATTTCTTAAGAGTTTTTGGCAGCCTCATCAGTTCACGTCTTGTACGCAAAACGAGATCAACTACATTTAAACATTTTGACAAATCAACTATCGAAGAACGCCATAGCGATTTAAATAAAACATTGTCTTCTGGAGTCGAAAAGTGAGTGTACCTGTGGTAGTGGAACTTCTTCTCGTCAACCTTTTTATTGTACATACATGGTACATAACATGATATTAGACAAAATCATAATATTGTCCTAAAGGAACATCATCTTATATTTTTTTTGTATGCTTCAACTACCACGAAGGTCTAAGGCCTATACACCCATGGGGTACCGTGGGGCTATAGGAGGATACAGGGGAAAGGGGGAACGTCACACGGACTCTATCGACGGAACACGTACACACATTCTGGCTCCGCCTACGAGATCCGCCGGGTGGTACTTCCGCGTTCGACAGTCAGAGAATGCTTTGTTGTATTCCATTCATTAATTATCATTTTGGTATATACACATAGTGAAAAGAGTGTTAACACCAATAAATTATTACTATTATTTATTAAAGAATTGACTACAGCTAAAAAAGTCGTCATACATAACCTTTTGACCTTTGTATCAGGGAGAAGCTTGTGAAAAGTGGAGTCCAAAAAAATTGAAAGGTTACAGCGTGGTTCATTTAATTTCTATTGGAAAAAGTACATTTTGGGTTTTTAACCAACCTGTACTGATTATTTAAGCAATAAAAAAAATGTATAATGAACGCTAATGTTAACTATAATAATGTGTGGACAGAAAACTCACTACTCCACCTGCCAAGACAGCAGAAAAGAAAATCGTCAAATGTTAATGCCTTTTTCAGATAATATGTCTATCAGCTCAACAACTAATAAATAACACTGATCAACAGCCAAAAAATATCCTAAATAAAATCAACAAAATATTACTATTTTTAATGTGCTAAAACCGGAATGAAACTTATTTTTTCAATATTAGTTCAAGTTTTAGAGATACGGTAATTATATGTGTTCCTGCTGTGACAGTGTTAATATACTGTAATTCACAAGAATGCACGTGCTACATTTTTATATTTGGCAAGGAAAGATGATCTAATCGGCATGATTGTGTTACGTTATACATACGTGTACATTATATTGTTTTATATTAGCCATTTTTTCCTCAGTTGGCTGACAGCGTTCATGCAAGATGTCTGGAAAGTGTGTAAACAATCCAGGTCAGTTTTGTTACGTGTGTGGTGATGTGACTTTTGCGTCTCAGAGACGGTCTATTACTCCACTAATAACAAAGGCATATCAGCTTTATTTCGGTTGTAAACTAGGTGATCAAGACAAACACCGGGCACCCCACATCTGCTGTAATAAATGTGCTTCAAGTCTGAGGAGCTGGTTAAATGGCAAAAAACGGTCTATGCGCTTTGCTGTCCCAATGGTTTGCAGAGAGCCTACAAATCATATTAATATTGTTACTTTTGCATGGTACCTTGTGTTGGACAAGCCACAGGTATGTCCAAGAAAAAAAAAATCGGTTATTAACTACCCAGACATACCATCTGCGATGAGACCTGTGCCTCACAGTGACGAAAATCCTATTCCAAAACCCCCAGAATCCTACACTTGCGAATCAGAAAACGAATCAGATCATGGCGATCGAGTGATTCGTCAGGAAGAAGATAGGCTATCAACGTCAAGAGATCCTGATTTTATATCGAGCACGTCATGCCACCAACCGCGCAAAATAACACAGTCAGAATTAAATGATCTTGTAAGAGATTTTGAACTTCCAAAATGTAAGGCAGAGTTACTTGGATCAAGACTGCAGCAGTGGAACTTGTTAGAAGACGATGTTTCGGTATGTGTTTTTCGTAAACGCCACAAAGACTTTTTCAATATGAGAATAACTTGGTTTTCTGCAGTAACATTAACGGCTTACTGGAGGCTTTAAATATAAACTATAACCCAGAAGAATGAAGATTGTTTATAGACAGTTCACCATTGAGTTTAAAGGCAGTGTTATTGCATATTGGAAATATTTTACCATCTCTTCCTGTAGGGTATGCAGTTCACATGAAAGAATCATATGACAATATGAAGTACCTATTGACATGCATAAAATACGATGAGCACCAATGGCATATTTGTGGCGATTTGGGCTGCAGCTAGGCTACACAAAGTTTTGCTGTTTTTTGTGTGAATGGGACAGTCGGGAAAGGCACTTCATTACACCAGACAAAACTGGCCTGTTCGTCAATTCCTAGAGCCAGGTCAAAAAAATGTACAGCATATGCCATTAGTAGATTCGAAAAAAATTTTATTACCACCACTGCATATCAAGTTGGGCCTAATGAAAAACTTTGTCAAGGCATTAGATAGAGATGGGTCAGCTTTTCAATACCTGCGTCAGAAATTTCCAAGACTAAGCGAGGCAAAGGTTAAAGAAGGTATTTTTGTTGGGCCACAGATTCGAAATATTTTGAAAGATACACAGTTTGAAAACACTGTAACAGGTATTGAGAAAACTGCTTGGAATGATTTCCGTCTGGTGGTCACTAATTTCTTGGGAAATAGAAAAGCTGACAACTATAACACCCTTGTCAAAAATATGCTGTCATCGTATCAAAAGATGGGCTGTAATATGTCTCTTAAGATACATTTCCTACACTCATACCTGGACTTTTTTCCTGACAATTGCGGACCCGTAAGTGATGAGCACGGCGAACGTTTTCATCAGGATATTTCAACAATGGAAAAAAGGTACCAGGGAAAGTGGAATCCTTCCATGCTTGTAGACTACTGTTGGACTCTTGGTAGAGATGCTCCAGAAACGATCCATAAAAGAACAGCAAAAAGACAGCCCATATAGTGATTCTTATAAGTAAATGAATCTTGTTACTTTTTTTAATATATCCTTAAAAATAAAAAGTTTTTTTTTAAACCGCAACTAATTTTTTTATTTCATTGTCATTTTTGGATTGAGCGCCCCAAAATTAACAAAGAAGTGCACTTTTCCCACAAGATACAATTTAAAAAACTAAAATTTGTTGTCCAGAATCAAAGTATCTTTCTTTTGTTAAGAGGGCTTTTTGAATGTGTAATAAAAAGTAGTGTTCTGTTTGGAAAAAATCTACTTTGATACGTCGAAGTATGGACACCCTGAATAGTGCGCGTCCGGATACTCATGTAGATATAAAAACGTATAAACATTGTCACTGGAAAATTTTTGTTTAGGAATAATACCCCATCATCGCAAATCTTGCCGTTTGTAGACGTGTGAAACATAAAGTACGTATTCTGCAGAATGTACAAATTGTCGAAAATATCTGGGCACCTATTATAGTGATCGTTTGAACACGCGCTGGCTTATCTGTAATTGGAAATACTGGTGATATTCAAATGACGCAACTTGCTCGTTTCACGCTCAAGATTACTCATGCGACTCATGTTTAACCACCGACAAAGGTCATACCAGGCAAAAGTTTGTGGCTATTCTGGTATGACTTTTCCGTTTCTCCGAGGTTGTTCAATATTCGACTTTGATTTTGAAGCTGAACGAATGTAATCAGAAAGTTGCGTTGCTCGAAATAATTGTACATAAGCTAAGAGTCAACTGCAGTTGTAATGAGTGAAATGAATAATTCACATCACACTATGCGAGATAGTGGAACAACAGTCAAAGCAAAAATAATCTCTAGAACCAGTCACTAAAACCATAAATATTTATAGACATCGTATCCACAGTATTGTTTGATTCGAAAGAGGATTCCGTGACCTGGCTAGCGATATTATCCTTCTCGTCCGTCATTGATACAACTTCCATCATTTAGAATTCGCAGAATGTTGACGTTATACTCTTTTGTTTTCTAAGGCCTGTTTAGAGGTGGTGCTTTATCAGGCCTCAGTACTGGCTAGTAGATCTGAGATACCTGAGACCCGAAGCAGGAAGTTTTGATCCTGATGTATAGCTGTAGAAATGGGGTTTCAAAGTGGTCTGAGCAAGATCTCTGCCACCGTGTTAACGGGCCCATTTCACTCATTTTTAGTTAGTATTTCTTCGGATATTCACTTTTATTCATGCACTTCTTGACTAATCGTTTTTACTGATATATTTCAATGCTCATCTTTCGCTGTCAAAAATCTACATTTGAAAATAAGTGCTTAAATGCTGTTATCAAGCGCGGACCATGCCAACTAAGGACGAGAAATATTGTGGCACGTTTGTCACTTACTTAAGACTCACGTGGTAACATAGCGTTGAAAAACATCAACATATCGAGAAAATTCATCTCGCAGATATTCATTTCAAATAATTCAATAGGACTGGGATTCCATCAGTAATCTACATTCATCAGTTTTGGATAAAATTAAATTTTTTTATAATCCACAGACGTTTACATTTATTAAGAAAGATCATATTTTTGTTTTGTAAGAAAAATGTATTATGCTGTACCTGTCTGATGAATACCTTGATGAACATTATTACACGATAACAATACTTTTTGATTCATCAAAAGGAATCTGCTGTGTTCAGGCTACTATTCTCGTAAATGAAATTAAAGGCTATAGTTTCAGAAATACCGTAGATCAATGGATTCTGTCATGTATGTCAACCAGAAAAAATCAGGTTAAGCTGGGTAGCACTATCTCTAATCCACATGACATAAACTTTGGAGTCCCTCGAGGTGGAGTGCTATCACTATTTCTGTTCTTGTTATTAGTGAACGATTTAGATGAACACATAATTGATAATATGTACTTGTCTTTTGTTTCACTGATGACACAACTATGACAGTATCAGCAAAGTCGCTAGAGGATAAGGCTCACATCATAAAGCAAGGTGTTCAAATCTGGGTGGTATTAAATAGATTACTAATTAATACAGATAAAACCAAATACATCTTGTATCACAAAAGCATTTATAGTTTTAGAAATATCCTGCAAAGAGATTCAAAAATCAAGCTCTCCGCCACGCTAATACTAATCAAGCTGGTATGTGCTCATGATGTTGTTGGTCCATGTCTAACTCAACAGGAGGCATCCGGAATACAAATGGTCCAAAACAGCTTTGTACGCTATATTTCAGGAATCGCGAAAATGGAAAGAATCTCCAGGCATCTTAATTACATAAAATCGCTAATAATACATACAAAACCTGTATAACATAATTCCCAGTTTGTCTCTGCAGCAAATTTTCTTCTCGAACTC